AGGGAAAGTCTGTTTCACCCGTAATTACATTCTAATACAGCTGTCAAAGTTGATGGCACTTTCCCTTCTGCTTCCCTGCAATGAGTAAGCCCAGCTTCCTTTTTGCACACATGGACCAACGCATTTTCCCTTCATAAGATAAGCAGAACATTAAAACCAAAACCACCCATTAGGTTCTGTATCATTTTCCATTCTTCCAGGAACAGAAAACTGTTCAGCAGAATTCATTTTTCAGGGTTGGTGGGAGAATGGCCATCTCTTGCCACCACCCTCTTCTATGGGAAGAAAAGCTTCACTTTCCCCAGCTTCACTCTGGAGAGCAGCTCTGCAGGTCCTACTCCTGCACACGATCCACAGAGACAGACCTACAAGCCTCCATGCAGCTCCACAAGCACCCATGGGATTTCAGAAGTCTGCACAAGGCTGATCGCAGAATGGGCCTCAAATCTGAACAACAGAAGGGTCTGTTGGGACCAGCAATTTTCCCTCCTGCTCTCAACAGAAGACTAAACTAGCCTTCAACTTCTCTAACGAGGTGAGGAGGGAAGTAAAAGAACCATAGAGTTTGAGCAAAAACTTTTTTTCTGTAAAAAGATTGACATCAGCATTGCTTTATCATGTTCCAGAATTGCCTGATGTTAGCTGGTATCAACTGAGTCACAGCAGGAACGCCAGGGACATTTGTTAGCATGAGGCACAGCTTTAGGGCTAGGGCAGTCTACCAGCACTGCAATCAGCTGAGATACTCTCTTCCATTTTCCAGCTCAGTGCTCAATTCCATATTAAACAAGCACCAGTACAAGCGGAGCTGCAGAACACGAAGCTAGACAATAAAGCCCTGAAGAGCAGAGGGAAGGCGGCTCCATCTACTCTGTCTCCCTCAGGGTGGAGGAGGCAAACAGAAGTTCAATAGCTCAAACTCTGTCCTGCTGCAATCTTGAAGTGAGCTGCAGCTGGAGCAGCCCACTGCTGTCATAAAATAAAGTAGGGCAGGATGCTCTCCCCACATCAGGGAGCAGTGTCCAGCAGCGCTCAGACAAGCTGCGTTAGCTGTCTCCAGCAGGCACATGCAATACATGGGAGTTCACATCAAATTCACCTCTGCTCCCACCTCCCTCTTGTCCCCATAGCACAGTTAAGTTCCCCAGGCTCTCCTCGCTTGAAATTGTCCACAATTCAGCCCTCACCAGCCCCTAATTCACACAGCTCCACTCCGAGTTGCTGCCCTCCCTGTAAACACAGGGACTCAATGCAGTCTTTATCTGTTGTCCTTCTCAAACAGCATAACACCTCCTGCATCCTTCCCTGTTAACAACTGTGCCTTCTGCTTCATTCCTGGAATAGCTTCTAACTCTTTCCTTCAAGCCAGATTCATTAACCAGCTGCTGCAGAGCTGTTTGCCTCCCCCAGGTACTCTGTGCATGTCATTTGTTAATGACTCATCTCAGACTGGGCTCATTGCAAAGATGCCCCCCTCCTTTTGCAGCACCAAGCGCGTTGCTGGCACACCAGGAAAGCCAAACATGCAAACAGCTCAGTTTCCTCCAATACCCCGTTCCCTTCTCCGTCCTCTATTGCCGTCAAGTACGGGACAGCTCCTTATTCAAAGTGCTATTTCCTGCCTTGCTTCTTTGCTGATCAAAGGCAATGTGTACCGAAGCATAAATAAGATCTTCACCCCCAGCCAGGCTTTGAGAACAGCAAAAACGTAAGAACAAACTTGAAAACTTCCAACACACTAAAGAAGCTCCAGCAAACTAATGTGACTCCTGTAACTGGCAGGGAATAAACACCAAGTATGCCAAATTCACATCTATTTCTCCAGCAGACTGGCTTGCCGAGGAGCTAAAACGATTTCCAAAGGCATTTGCATTCCTCCTGCCTCTTCACACGACTGATATTAAAAATGGGAAGGAAAGAAAAGAGCTAGTGAGGACCACGGAACCTCTCCTCGCTAGTCAAATCTAGTGAGGAACTGGATGACCAGTACACTGCAGCTGCCCACGTGGGAAGCCAGAAACAGACACAGTCCATCTCCATCACACAGATCTATCAGACTTGGGTACACAAAGTCCACCTACACCTCCTGAGAAGCTGTCAGTTAAACACCGGGAGAAGCTAGTACAGAAACTAGTACTGCCACTGCTTGGGAAACAGTTCCCTTGAGACATAAGGGAAGGCTTCGTGCTCTGGGCTTATTCACTTAACATCCTTCCCTGGGAATTTTTTGGCTAGTGTTTCTAGGGGGAGAGCAAGCTGGCAAAGAATCAGAAACCAAAGGACCTGAACCAGAGGCAACTGGATGGGGGGTATTTAGATCCACCTCTCAAGATTAAAAGCTGGTGTGCCTGCACTGCAGGAGAAGAAAAGGAGAGGAATTTACTTTCATAAGTGTACAACAAGTCCTGTGACTGAGGACTGAAAACACGCAGACGGCAAAGAATTCTGGTAGCAGTAAGAGGAAGGCACGTGCATTGCACACGCAAGTGCAGGCTGACAGCTGGCTGCAGGACTGGAGCATTGTTACCATCCTCTGCTTAAACAGCTCCCCTGCCCGCTCACGGAGAGCCCTTCTCTTTACAGCATGGAGTGAAGCAAAACGCAGGGGCCAAAATACAAAGCAGCACTCTGCTAGACCCAGAGGAAGGAGTTGGCTGGCCTAAGACAGAGCACAACTACAAACCTTCCACAACCAGGCATCAAAGGTGTTCAGGCTCAGGACACTGGGCTCGGCTACCGGTTTTGCCACAGATTCTTCTGTACAAATTTGGACAAAGACCAACTACTGATAACACGGGAAGAGCGCTTCCCTGCCTCCCGGATGCCTCAGGGAGATTAGTCAGACCTTCTGATAACATAACAACAAGAATCAAGTAAATGCTCAAGTGAACAAGTGCTGTTGGACTAAGCCTAAAGCAGCCTCAAAGCCAAGACTCCAGACTCTGACATTAAATCGGAATTTTTAATTTTTTTCTAAAATGTGCTTTTTTGTGTGAATTGCTGTTTCAATGGCAACCCCATCCTCCCCCTTGAAGAAAAAACCCCACACCTTGCCAAACTAGGTGCAAAACACCTGAAGTTAGTCTGTAACAAATAAAAAAAACCCCACAAAACAAAGGCTGAAATGCTTTAGAATCACAACAATGTACAAAAAAAGGGAGGAAAATACAACCTGAAAGTGTTCAAAATTCAGAAAGACTAGTCAAGTCCATTGCTTCAGCAAGGGCAAGGGGATGCGACCCCTGCCAGTGGGTCCTGGGCCACCAGCCTGCCACGACGCTAAACGGGCTCTTCTTCCACGCAAACCACTGTCGCTAGCATCCGCGGAAGAGCGAATGCATTACCCTTTGAATATCAACGGGGGAAACAACTCACAAGCAGCTCTGGGAGGTCACATCACATTCAGAAGGAACACAGTTTCTAATATGCCCCTAACCACCTGCAAGAAGGAAGGCTTGAAAGAGCAGCCTGCTTCCTCCTTATTGTATTGATGCCTCAGAGATGCAGAACAGTGCTTTAAATCTGTGAGAGATTAAAGGGCTTAGTAAGGGCAGTAAACAGACAGTTAAGTAAACAGCCCAGCACTGGATCTCATCTTCACAGAGCGAGGTAGTGTGAATTTCACCCCAGTTTAAAATAGACAGGGGTAGCAAAAAGGCTGAAGACTTCCCTGTAAAGCAGTTCCTGGCCTAGAAACCTTTCCGCACTCCCTTTGGGAATGAAAAGATCTGTGTTGATGGCTTCCTCGCTCCCAGCCTGGCTTTGGTAGCCACACTTCAACCCTGGGATTCAGACACTTGCGACCGAAGTTCTCCCAAGATCTGATTTAGTACAGCAGCTTCCTTGAGGTTAAGCAGCAATGAGACTGGCTGGGAGGGAGCAAAACTGTCCACAGACATATATATATATGTGTTGGTTTTTTTTTCTTTTTCCCCCTGCCCCTTTGGGTTAGTCCCTCTCTTTGGAAATCCCTCTTTAAAGGGCCAGAAGAGGAACACCCTGGAAATTAATAGGGGCTGCACAGTGTAACTGAGCCAGGTGCTGCCAACTGGGAGCTGTATTCAAACATGGTTTTTATCTGCCAGCCTGGAAGGGACTGGCCCAGAACCCACTGAAAAAGGAGATGCAGGCCCTTTTTTGCGCCTCCTGTTGTCATTCCTAGCCGAATGACATTTAGATGGTATGTTCTAGTGACGGCTGGAGACCAGCCCTTTGACTTTGGACATCTTCTTTGTGGGCTGCCTTTGTTCTGTGTGTGGAGGGCACTCTCGCTCTACCAGCTGCTGTTCCATCTCCTGTGCCGACGACGAGGCTGTAGCTTTTAATGTTTTCTTTATGTTTGTGACCTGGCCAAGAAGAGACAGTGAATCAGCACCTGCTTCTTCCTCCCCTTGCAGTAGAAACTCTGTTCATAAACATACTGAAAAACTCCTGGAGTACAGAGTGGAGATTATAAAACAAACTCTCCCACTAGACACATTCTCTGCACTTGAGTTTATTAAAGACAATATTTTATCCTCACTTATAGCCAGAGTTGTTAATATTTCCAGTCTGGGTCCAGTACAGAATAACTAGAGACTACTTTTTTGTTTTCTAAGAGACAACGGCACAATACTGTACCATGTTTCTGGCTGGCTGGAGGGACCTACTACTGCCTTGGTGCCGAAGGCAGCCATCCTACCACTGTTGGCCAGAAGCCAGAAGGAGAATGGGGACTGTGAAAGAAACAAACTTGCACTTAGGCCAGCACATGAAAAGGTAAAATGCCGTTTGGTCTAGCTGGCTGGCTGAGCCATAGGTACTTGCTAGAAGCAGGAACAGAAATTGGTTTTGTGGGAGGCAGCAGTAGTGTTTCTGCTGCTCTGGCTGAAAAGGAGAGATACAGCACCAAGCACCATACTCCGTCTCCTCTGGAACCCTGTAGGGCTCACCAGAAATACAGTGAGCAAATCTTAAAAAAACCCAAACAAATAAATAAAAGAAAAAAAATCCCATAGGCTAAAACAAGTTTGGGAGTCAGGTGTGCCAACTCCAGGCCAAAGGCATCTGGTAAGCCAAATGCGCTACGGATGCCAATCAAGCTGCCAAGCACATGCTGCTTCAGAGGCAAACATAAACCTGCAGGGATGCAGCACTCTGCAAGAAATAAACCCTGAGCAAGTGTCTCAGGAGGACCATTTGCACCTTTACAGCTGTATTAGCCAAGATTCGTTCTCACACGTAAATACACATCAGCGCAGGGGCTAAAATCGCGTGCCCGTGCTGCCATCTACTGCCACGCTGCAACTGCGACAGGGCCCAGGCCACCCTGCTGAGGAGAGCACGTCGGAGCCCTGCCTGGGTGCTCAGCTTCACCCCAGGAGAAAGACCCCGAAGCAAGCTGCTGAGGGCACATTTTGCAAAAGCAATGAGACTCGAGAGGTTCTTTGTTTAATTACACTTTCAGGTTTACAACGAAGTCAACTTTTTTTTCCTTCCTGCCTGCCTTGTACAAAAGGAACAGAATTCCATCAAAGCCCCGTGTTAAAAGCACATTTTTCCTAATAAATCCATTCAGGAAACTACAGCTAGTGCAGCCACCTAGCCTAAATTCATAAAACTTTATAAAGCAAGGTTCCAGCCTGCTCAGAGTGGGCAAATATTATATTTGTGGTGTTACTACCACATGGAAGCAGATGTGTTTTATCCCTACCCCAAACTAGCACGTCTGATTTGCATGCTTGCTAGCCTACTTCAGAGAAGCCACAATCATTAACCAGGCATTACCAGATGATTTTCTTCAGTAAACAAACATCTATCAAAAAGCATAGAGCGGTCTGAAGTAACTCTGTACCCACCTCCATCTCGACCTGCTGTTGAGTTCGGTGATGGTTTTCTTTGTATTGGTTGGCTCTAAGTACTTGCTGCTCAATTCCTAAAAGAACCGCTTCACAACCATCACACCTGCGAGATACAAACAAGGTCAAACAGTGTTTATGAGTTCTCTTGTGGGGCAGCTCAATCAGGCAATCTGAAAAGTCAATCTCCTGAACTTCTGGCTGAGCATATGAAATTTATACTTCCCGCTTAAATATTAGTTTCAAAAAGCTGGCAAAAAAAAAAAATTGCTGTTTACTCAATGTATTTTACAGCATTCTTTAGCTAGTCCATGTTACTTTTACCTGCCCATCAAAAAGTAAGCACAGGTTCATTGCACTTTCGACTTCCTTTTCAATTAGAATCACTGCTTAAACAAGGATGCAATGCATTTTTCAAACGTAAGTAAAATTTTAAAATTAAACAAGAAAGCCAGATTGAGAGCATCCCCTTGCCCGTTAAGTGTTCAAAAGACAAGAGCACTCCTCCAGCACTGGAGAGGACAGAAAGGGAATTGGCAGTGGGTTCACTGTTACCTTCCAAACAATGCTGAAAGGTCCTGGAAGCTGCCAGAGCCCTCCCGATGAGATGGGAATAAGGGAGTTAGAGAAGCAAAAATCTGCCCCCACCTCAGGACAGCATACTTGCCCAGCAGTTTAATTACTTTTCATGCACCATACCATAGCAACTAGGAAGCAATTCCCAGTCAGCTCAAACTGCCACAGGCTCCACAGTCTACAGGGGAATTTCTCTGGGTGGGAAGAGAAACCTACAAAAAGATGAGAAGCAGCTTCCTGGCAAAGGTACAAAAGATAGTACCAATATGGCTGCACGCAGCCTGCATTTGCAGGAACAAAGAGAAGGCAAACAAAGGCATCTGAAACTTCAAACTTGAAGAGACAACCCCTCCAAAGCACTGTGAGTCTCTAGAACTCGCCCATGCAGTTCTCATCACAGTGAAAAAGGCTAAGAAGTAATGGCCAGTTCTGCTTTCGTTAACAAGCGTAACAGCAGAAAGGGGAGAAGTTTGCACCGTAAGGCTACAAGTCCCATTTGGACTGTCTGTTTGAAAGGGCCCTTGACTCCTCCCTCACTAGGGTTCTGCTGTGTAAAAGCTACAGTGAGAGCAGAATCTCAAGACCTAGTGTAGTTTGTCTTGATATGTAACACAAACTGAATCCTAGACGGAATCTCGGAAAACTTGTCCAACAGACTACTCCTCCAAGTGCCCACTTACACCATAAGACTCCCGAACAATGGCACATGGTGAAATTGAGCCAGCACTTGAAACTTTCAGGAACAGGAAAAAGACAGGCCAAGCTATGTACACTGAACACGGAAAGCGGAGAGACTGCCTCACCATTCCTGGAGTGTTTTGACAATGTTACTGATGTCCTTCTTCTGAATGTCTCTGCCGATACAAAAGTCCACCTCTAGCACCTGGTTTCGTTGATCCAGCTTCCCCTGGATAATATCTGTATAAACTGCTTCAATAATGAGATCTTCCAGCTCTCTCAGATTCCTCATATCCAGGTCCTTCAGCAACACAGAATAGGGAATGCACTAAAAACAGCAAGTCCAAGAATAAGTTAACTGTCCTAGAGCCAAAATGAACAGCTAGGTCTCAGAAGGTCAAGACCCAAATGTTTATTGTATCCTGCACTTCAGCCTGCAAGTACAGCAGTGACAGCGCGTGGCAGAACAAACACTTGCTGCTAGGCTGCGTAATATTCTGACACAAATTTGCTAATTCCTGAAGCTTTGACATAGCATGTTCTGGAGGAAACAAGGTAATGGGATTGTAGAAGAAATTAAGAGAGTTGATTAGTTTTCTCCAGAAGAACACGTGAGTGTTTCTAAGAATGGCTCTCCATCTCCAGCAGTGAATGAAGCCATACAAAGTTTCGGCATTTTCAAAAACAAACAAAAAGACTGCTGTCATACACACGGCACTTTACCTTCATTCTGGAAGCCAGGCTTACAATCGTCAAGTGTTTCAGCTTGTTTTTCTGAGTTGCTGTTAAATCAGGCAGGTTATCTTTGTTTGCTGTTAATGTTAAAAAAGACACGATTCAGGACTTTCCTTCAAAAATTATATAATTCAGACTGCAAAACTTCAGGCCAGTTACACTACACTAAACCCCGAAAGGCTGAACTCCTCCAGTTACTGTGGGTGCCAGTGAGCAGGGAGCGCTGCCACTGATGACAGATTAGCACATGCAGGGAGACACAGGAAAAGTTAAAAAAACAAGTTGGCAATTCCATTCTTCTCTGTTTCTTTAATAATCCTGGTTTTGGAATTAGAACGTAATTCACATTTACACAAGTGGTGTCCTGCCAAAACAGTTGATCAATGCTTTGTTTCTACCACCAAGTCATTTTTATTTCATTAACGAGCTGACAGAAAAAAATCTTTCCCTTTTCCTGATCTGGTTGTAAATACAGCTGGTTTTATTTCTCTGAAGAGCTGCAGAATTTAGGGTTGAAAGTGTAAAGTACTAGGCTGAGGAAGAGAGGAGAAATTATTAATCTAGATACTTACATGGCCTCACTGTCATTGTATTATATTCATGTGCCTCATGAATATTTAAAAACAGAAGTGAAACTGGCAGCTTTCCAAAGCAAAGAAACCCTTTAAAATATCTGCTTTAATGGAAATTAGCGTTTCAGGCCCACTGAAGTTCTCCCATCCATCCCACCTCATTCAATGCTCTACGTTTTGACCACTATCCCCCCTTTCTCTTTCTTTACTAGGAAAGGAAGGATGAACTGCACTGTCACATGCTGGGACACAAGAGCCCTGCACTGCAAACACGTCCTCTAATCAGTCACAGAATTCATGAGGCTCGTGTTGCTCCACAGCCACTGGAATTTCCAGTCCTTGCACTTACTGATGCCACTTCTCCTTACAGGAACTAGATAGCTCATCCACTGCAGTGACAGCCAGCACTATGACAGAATCATTTGTCACTCTGTAATGGTCTGGATTAGGCTGCTACCCACAAATGAAGTATTCAATTGTAGCCGAATGGAAGCATAAGCACCAGAGATAAAAGCACATCTCGACAGATACTAAGATGATTCACACATAGTCCTTCCGAAGCTGTACAAAAGTCATTATTTCAATTTGTATTCTAGCTAAGAAATGCTTCATTTTGTTTCAGCAATGCCATCACAGAATAAAAAGTTATCCCATAAAGCATATAGGTTTTTATAAATAATGTAGAACAATTTTGTCTAAGTTTTCTGCAGCTTCCATAACCAGTGTCATCTAAATTTCAAAACAGATGTCTGACATTGCACTCCGCAGAGCAAAGTGGCCTGTGAATGTCAATGAATACGGTTACAGACCAATCCAATCTATTGTTGCAGTGCAATCCCAACCAGTAAAACACTACGGTCTCTAGCCTGGCTATAGCCCTTCCTCCACATTTTAGCAATTAAAAAGCACATATGAGCCAGAGACCCCCTATGAACAATTCTCCTCCCACAAAAATCCTGTTCTTGGAGACTTTCACTCAGCCATGCTACACCAGGTGCCACAGAACACAAAGAAGTGCCTCTGACAATTCTAAGGGGCAACCCAGTCTCGTAGTCTGCAAACAGGCAGCAGTCTCTTACCTACATAGTCTGGGTATGTTCCATATGCAAACAGGTTCAGCAACTGGAAATAAGCAGCATTAGACCCTTCAGCAAGCTGAATGGGAAGAAAACAAAAGAAATTCCATGTAACATGGTTAACAGCCACCATGATACCGGTGAGCAACTTCTCCAGAGAACATTCTAAGTCTACACAGGACAAGCAGTGCCCAGAAAAGCAATTACAGCCCAGTCTTAGAGCTGGACCCTTTCTAAAGCCTCACAAGCAGCAGCAAATTTCAGCAGTTTCAGAGTCAAGATGATCCAGCCATTCCTGTGCACCAACCTAACTACAGTTTGGACTGTCAACTGCTTTGTGAGGCACCTTAGGAGGTAAAAGAAAAAGGCGACTCTTAATTTCAGCTGACATCCTACAGGGCCAGCTCTTCTCATCGTGTGACAAGCATCCAGACAATGCTGTTGGCTGGTTAAGCATCCTTGCTATTACTGGGAAAGCTAAGACAGCTTACCTGCAGAGCCACAAAAAATTCAAAGGAAAGCAAGCTAGAACTTTTTAAGCCAAGTGCATTTGAAAGTAACAGCATATGTAAACACTTCACTGGAGTAACTGCAGCACCAAGCAGTGATTTTTATTGAGTGGTTTTTTTTAATGCCATTTGCTGCACACAGATCCAGGAAAAAAACATACTTGAGATTTGATGCTAAATAACCATAGAGGCATTTTTCGGCATATCTAACAGCCCGTCTGGAAAGCCAAACTTGCTGTGCACCACATTACCCCAGCTGCAGAGATACTCAACCTAGATTTCCTTACTGTAGTAGAGGGGGGTGCTGGCGAGGTATTCTCAGTAAAAGCTCTGGAACTTACTTTATACCTTGGTTTGAAATGGTTTGGATTTGGTTACCACCCAGGCCTGATACACTAGACATCTGTTCACAAAGACTTTTGGAGAACGCTGAAGTTATGCTTTCCAGGACAACGAAGGAGTAAAAAGGGATTTTTTCACTGTTGGCTGGCGAGGTGCCGCCTTAAAATTGTTACTGTGCTGCTGCCAGGTTTTTGCTGTATTAGCAATCACATTAAGATAGCAAAACTTTATAGAGATATTTTTTAACATCTAATATACACAGGCAAAGCAATGTCAATCTCTCATATGCAAACATCTCAGAACAAAAGGTAAGTCGCACCAGGCCCTCCCTGGCACAGAAATTTCACATGCAGGCTGTCTGTGGAAGCTTCTGGGGAACCATTACACTGGGAGTGCAGAAGGGGCATTAGGACAGAAACTCATCTCTTACCTCTTGCACATTTGTTAACTCCAATAGCTCTCCGAAGACATAAACCCCAGGAGCCTCCAGCACTTGATTTATAAGAGCAGTCAGAGCTGAGCCACTTGTACCTTTGGCTAGTAAAATAAACTGCTCTAGAAGATTACAGGACGGTTTCTGTTCTCCTGCCATTCTAGGTTTTCAATCTGTCAACAAAAGAACATGATATTAATACATCGTTTCTCCTCTGCTGAATTTTGTCTGGCCGTGGATCAGAAAGTACGCTCTGCATCGTAACGTTTTGGTGTCAGCAGAGCCAGGCTTTTCTTCAGCATTCAGAGAGCAGGCCAGAAGGACCGCAGGTTTGAATGTTGATTTATCTGGGAAGCAAAAACAATTCACACAGTATCTGGGCAAAATATCTGCCCTCAAAGCATCTACCCCTGCTAGCAGGAAAGGAGTTCCATGCTGTTTCCAGACTTCTCCTTCTACTGATGCTGCCAAATAACGGCAACTGCAAAGATCTTTATTATTACGTCTACTAGAGGCCACCTCAGACTTCCTCCTTCCTCACTACACAGCTTCCAAACAGCAAGTAACTTCATTCTCTGTGAAGAACTGATCCACCTTGTAGGCCCGCACTTCGTACCTTTTCCTTTGACATTTGGCTATGGATAATGCGTGCATACATAATTCCTGTTGCTTTCTTAGCCTGAAAGGCAAAAAGAACTGTGGCCTGCAAGTAGCTTACCAGTCTACATGGTACGGTTAAAGTGTTTTGGGTTAACTGGAAAGCTTAAGTGACAAAAACACCCTTTCTACAAAGGCTCTATTTAAGTCCCCCTAAAGAGAGGTCTTTGTCTTCAGCTGTTGCCTGACATTTCTGGTGTGCATTTTGTCTCCCAGCATAACATGTTGCTTTTGAAATGTAAAACACTGTTTATTAACAAGTTCAACAAAATAAGTTATTTGTTTACAAACAACTAAGAAAAAAACTTCCGAAGCATACTATTCAGACACCAAACAAAGAACTCTGCAAATAAGGGGGGTTTTGTGTTATGTTTGTATCAGACAATTCTAAAGTATAGCACGTAACCCTCATTCTGGTGAAGAAAACCAGACACCGGAGAACCTGTCTCACTCTGTGTGACCGCTGGGCCCGCATCTGCCCTCGTGGGGTGGCACGGTCACACAGGTGTTTGCACTGCTCTACCACACCTGACCAAGCAAAGACTTGCGAAGGCAAGGCAGCCAGCTCCCTTTATTAGTCAGCATCTAAAAATATGCTTTACTCCACGCTACTACACCTGTAGGGACAAATGGTCCCAATCTGATCGGGCAATCTTTGCACTCTCCACACAAAGATTTCTCGGTTCTCTGCATAAAGTCTCTTTGCGATTCTTTTCACCACAGGCACGTGTGCACCTTGACTGAGCGGCACCTGAGTTGTGCCTCAGAAATCCCTACAGTAACGATCAATGGGGCTTCCTAATGCACCTGAGGGTACATCAGCGCTACTCTCCCAGCTCACAGACAAGGAAACCGCCACAAGACAAATGGTTTTCTCAGGAGAGCAGAGGAAGTGACTGAGCTGGGGACGAAATCCAGCTTTCACAGTTCCCAAGCCCCCGTCCTCCCTCAGATGCAACTACAACGCACGCTGGCGTACGAAGTTACAACAGACTGGTTAGTCCATGCCCTGCTAGGAAAGGAACGCCAGCTCTTTGCCCCTTTCCAAGTTACCGTTCGGACAATCGCAACCCGTCCGCGCATCCGTGTCACCGGGACCGCCTCGCTGCTCACCCCACGGCCGACTGGCCCTGGCCAGCGGTGACTGAAACACAAATGGAAAGACACCTTAACGGAGCTACAGCAACCCATCCCCGGCGATAAACCGGGCTTCTCCCCGCCAGGCGCGCCCCACTGCAGCCGTTCGA